CCCCAAAACCCCAAAACCCCAAAACCCCATAATCAAACATATAAATTTCAGGAAATAGTTTTGTATAAATAAATTTATCCTATTAATAAATAATTCCAATCAACTAAAATCATATTTGACGAAATTTTCATCAATCGTCAAATGCTTTATAACATTGCATTTCTAATACTCTGAATAATCATAATAAATAAGCTAGATAATCAAATTATTATTACTTTTGGCATCTTTTTTCTAAGCAATAGCATGCATTCCAAAAGTTTATTCACAATCCGATAACTTAGTTAGTTTCAAATGCTTGATATTGAATAAAAATACCTTATATCTTGTGGACATTAATAAGTAAGGGAATGATTCTTTATCAAATCCTGTTATTTTGTGCAAAGCTAAATATTAAACCTCATCATTAAAATATGGATTAGGAATTTCTTCCAAAGTAATTTCTTCACTTTCAATGTTAAAAATGAAAGGCTTCTTATAATTTTCGCAAACTAAGATTAGATTATCATCAATGGGATACAAGCATTAAATGTTTTAATCTTGAAGTAAAACTTATGTTTCTACTGTTACAACTATATCATTGCTGCTTTCATCTATTAACAAAACTCCTTGTCTCATTCCTAAAGATGAGGCTATTAAAAATCTCTTTTTATCAATCATAACTAAATCATTGATAAACGGTCCTTCATTTGTGATTTCTATGTCCTCAAATATGTTTACTTGAGTTGTTATCAAATTTTAATCTAAATCTGCTATAGATATGATTCCTTTGTCTAGTAAACAAAAAAGATATCGATCACTGATCTCTATCACTTTCTATATAACTTAGCAAGTATCAATAAGCTTGAAAACCTCAAGTGAGGTCGAATCAAAAATGGAAATATTGTGCTTTGTTACCCCTTGTAAACCTAAGTAAATTTTGCCATTTAAATGTTATAAACATGCAGTTAAGTATTTATTAGTTGTTAACACTTTGATTTCAGAGAGGTCACTGAATTGATAGATGTGTAGCTTTGTATGATATCCACCATATATGAGTAAGTCTTAATTAGGAGGAGAAAAGCAAGTGATGTTCATATGTCCTTGACTCATATAATAAACTTTCTCAGGTATTTATCTGGTCTTTAATAAGTTTTCCAGGCAATTTGATTTTAAGTCTTAGAATGTATCTGAAAATATTTAATTTCTTAAAATCTCAGATGGTGAAGGTCGCTAAAGTCTATCATAGTGTAGCATAGATTTTATTATATCTTACAATGCATTTGAATATTCCCATTTGAATTAAATCCAATCTTAGTTTTGGTTTTACTTAAATTTCTAAATATGTTTTATATTATCTCTATTCATGAGCTCGAAAAAAGTTAATCCAAGGGAATAAAGATCACTTCTTTAGTCATGCCATCGTTTTTTTATCTCTGGAGCCCAATATTCTTCAGTTCCCCCGCCTGATGACATACTTCCTAAGATACTTTATTTAGAGAAGTCGCTGTCAAAATCAATTTATGATAACTAATAATCATCGTCTTTAATATCAATTAATGACATCTATCTGTCGATATCTATTTATACTTCTGTTGATAATCCAAAGTCAGCTAATTTGACATAATCATTTTCAAAGAGCAAAATATTATCAGGTTTAATATCTTTATGAATTATTGGCTATGGTCTATGATGTAGATAATTTAAAGCTAATAAGCTTTATACAAGATATTTAATTATTAGAATTTCTGGAATTTGTTAGTCTTATTAAAACTAAGGTTCTTTTCCAAGATAGTATTCATTTAGAGATATTTTCTAAGCGTAATCAGTGATGATATATACTTTATCATTTTAAATGAAAGCATTTACAAAGTAGAGAATGTGAGGATGTCGTAACTAGTTCAAGACATTTATTTCCTTTAAACACAAATCTATTTCTTCTTATTTAGTGAGCTTATTTTTTGAAATTTTCATTGCAAAGTCTCTATCATCAATCACAAATGATTATTCATTTTGAAACTTGCTTTTTTTGGGCAATTATTCTTCTATTAATTCCACTTTATATACATCCCCAAATCCTCCAGATCCTAGTTTATTCTGAGTCCTGTATTAGATAGAACTTGATCTTCTCATTAAATCCTCCTTACATATCAATTACTTCTACCTATGAAAATGATACTATCACTAAATCAATCTTACTCATGCTTTGTAAACCTTCCACCCATTTCTAATAAAATTTTGTAATTAAGAAAATAATTTGACTATTACTTTAATTTTAGCTATGCAAATTAAAAATACTTTCTCATAATTAATTTTAAGTATAGTCATTTGGTTGCAATTAGATACAAATTTTTGCATGTCGGGGTTTTGGGGTTTTGGGGAGATCGGAAGAGCACACGTCT